CTGCAAATTTGATCAACTCCTGGTGATTTATTATTTTTAAGCTTTTTAATGGCTTGGGCAACGTTTTCCATGGTAGGTGGTCTTTCGTTTGGGTTAAAAGGATTCCAATCATTTCGATTTACTAGGGTGTTGTCTGCTTCTTCGATATGATGGCCATTAAATTTTGCATCGAAAAATTCAACCCATCTGTTTAGGATTGAGGCCGTATCATTTAGGATGTTTCCTTCTGCATCCTTACAGCTCCTTATTCTTGGCTTAAACTCTTTGCGCATTTTGTTTAGATTTCTGTAGAACTTTCGAGTTTCATTTTGATTTCTTAGCCATTCTGTGCTTTCCAATTGCTTTTGCTCAAATTGTCTTTTTTTTCTTCTATGTAATCGTTTTTCTTCTCTTCTTAGTGTCCGGTATTCTTCCTTTGCTCTTCTTGTGCATCCAGCTTGATTTGTCTTTAGGTATGCCCTGTTTTTGTTATATGTTGCTTCTTGGCACTCCTTGTCAAACCATTCGTTTTCTTTAACTAGTTTGGTTTTCCTCAATATTTTTGTTGCTTTCTCAGTTATTATGTTTTTACATTTTGTCCACAGTTCCTCTACATTTTCCCCCACCTCGAGGCTCTCCATTTCCTCGTCCATTTGTCTCCTATACTCTCTCGCAACGGTTTCAATGCGCAGATTATCAACATTAATTCTGTCTTGTTTCGTGTGTTTATCTTTCTTTAGGTTTGATATTCTTCCTCTGATTTTTGCCATTACAAGAAAGTGGTCACTGTCAATGTTTGGGCCTCGGTAGCTTCTGACGTCTATGAGATCGGAAAAGTGCCTTGCATCTATCAGGATGTGATCTATCTGGTTAATGGTTTCGTTATCAGGGGATTTCCATGTTCCTTTGTGTATCATTTTATGGGGAAATCTTGTTCCTCCTACTATCATGTTTTTATTACTTGCAAAGTTTATTAGTCTCAACCCGTTATCATTTGACTCTTCATGTAAGCTCTCACGTCCTATAGTTGGCTGGAAAAATTGCTCTTTGCCAGTTTTTGCATTAAGATCCCCAGCAATGATTTTCACGTCATGACGTGGACATCGATCATATTCTTTGTCTAAGGTGTCATAGAATTCATCTTTTTCATTATCCCCCTTTTCTTCCGTAGGTGCGTGTACACTAAGTAAGCTATAATTAAAGAATTTTCCTTTAAGACGTAGATAACATATTCTGTTGTTTATGGGTTTAAAGTTAAGGAATAATTGCTTTGCTTTTTTACTGACTAGAAAACCACTGCCAAACTCGTGTCGACTGCTATGTCCGCTATAGTATATATTGTAGTCTCTTTTCTCGATGATTCCTGAACCAGTCCATCTCATCTCTTGAATCGCTACTACATCGGTTTCATTTTATCAAGGTCTTGTGTTAGCAGTCTTAGAGCACCTGGGGCATAAAGGGTTCGTACATTCCATGTGCATATCCGTAAATCGTTATTCCATTGTCGTTTGCTAGGTCGTCGTGAATTAAACAGTCCGGCTTTTCCACTTTGTGCTTTCATAACAATGAGTTTTTTTAAGGGAAGAGGTCGTTAACATTTTGCCCAACCCCCTAATCTTCGAAGGACCATTTCTCCCACTCTCGTTTGCCCTGACTCTGCTTCCCACTGGGGTTGGTTACCACAATCTTCCACAGAGTTGCTCAGGTTACCAAGGTTCACCGCGTGGAGGTGAGAGTTGGAATTGAGTAGGAGAGGCTAGTGACGCTAACAGGATGCAGCGTCATATTTTACGCATCACTACCCCATTTGAACCCTCTACGTGTTATTCACGTATAATTAATCGAGTAATGTAGTGATTAACTGGCAGCAAAATTTGATGTTTGAGACTCAAATTACCAGGATCGATTAATCTTATCAATGCTTAAGATTCCGTTGTTACCTTTACCAATAACAAAATCTTTGTTTTTTAGAGAATTAATTTCTTTTGAAAATTCCGAGAATTGTGTCATCTTAATTATTAAAGTTTGCGAATAGATCAAGTATTGAGCATGTAGCTCGTTTAAATTGCGCTTATCTTTTCCCTTCACCTTGGCGTTAAAAATAAATCGACGAACATATGCAATCACGCGAATTAATTTATGCATCTAGCTATATTTTTCTAAAATATTACTATTATTCAACAAAACTTTCATACAATTTATTGATTGAGGCCTTACCATTTTTAATTCGGGAATTTCGATCGAATCAAAAATCTCTTTTGGCCATGAAGACTGTGTTCGAGATAACCAAGACGGACCGATTTGCCAATAATACGTATACAATAACTGGGCTCAACAATCCCAGCGGATCAAACAATTTTGCGATTTGCGACAACATAGAGCGTGTCGTCATAGTGTCGATGCTTGAAATGCCCGAGCCCCGAGCTATAAAACAGAGTATCATCACGAGAATTCCATTGAATTCCTAATGCCTTGATGGTGGCATCAGGATATAAAGACATATGAGTACGCTCAGCATGTTCATTTTTGATTATCTATAAAAGAGCCATCATTTGATGCCCATTTTCAAAGAAGAGAACAGCCCTTTTTTAACATGCGATAAGATCTTCTCGCAAGGCGGCTGCTTCTTCGCGAATCTTTCCACCAGTGAGAAGATCATCGACACAAAAATCTCTGTTTAATGCAATAGCTGTGAGAGGATGCGCAAACCCTCATCTTGAGCTAATTGCTTAAAAGTCCGAGTTGTCAAATATGGTAATGGAGCAGTACCGTACGTGACGGTATTAATAATTTACGTTTTAATTGACTCTTGTGGATTTTTACAAAACAATTTTTTTTACATATTTAACATTTTACGATACATTTTTTTGCGTCGGCTGCCAATACGAATATATGTTGACGATAACGAAGAAGAATGACAAATTGGTCATCCTGTTGCTTGGGACCGACGATTAATGTATGATTGAGCGATATTCCCGTTGACGTTTTTGCCAAGCCGTCAAAAACTACGCGAGTTTGAGTTGTGAGACTATCTTGTTTTAATACCGCGTAATGAGGAAGATACAATCCAATTTTTTGGCCATTTACGTCATTTGTATCCATGTGAGTTAATTTCTTATACTCAGTCAAAAAAGCAGAATAGTTCAGTTACAAAAGAGGATCTTTGCTAAAACGATTTTCTGGCGAGTAAAAACGCTTTAACGCGCTATTGTATGAATCACCTAATTTCGATTTTTTGTCATTAAATGGTTACCTTACGATGTATCTACCATTAACATCCCGAGTAGTGTGACACTCATAGTACTTTCCGCATGCTTTTTCTTCCGGTGAGAAAACTTTGATGCTTGGAATTTCTTCCATTTCCTAGAAGGCGATTTAAATTGAGTTCCGTCATTGGACTATTTAATGAAAGATGAAACGAAATATTTTGCAATCGAAACGATTTATTTTACAATGATTTATTTTACCTGCAACAATCGAACCCAGATGAGTTTTTTGGAAAACAGCATTAGGCTGATTTTTCAACGATATTTGACCTACACTGAGAAGATTGTAAAATAATTGTACTCCCAAAAGAGCATCTACTTTTGCGGTTTTCCAAACTTGAGGATCAGCTAACACGATATTTTTTGGTATTTCGAGTTGAGTAGGATTTATTTCAATCGACGGCATTGTTTTGCTGATTAGTGGTAAAATCAAAAAGTCAAACCCCGGAAACTGTAATATTAACGGGCTTTGGATCTAGATTTTAAAATTGAGCCACGTATTCGGTAATAAAATGTGCTTGAGAACCAGCGTTTAAAAACACACGACAAGTTGTTGTGGTACTGCTTATAGTTGTGGTTTTTTAAAACTCTATGTATCGTCGTCGCACGGCTTTTCTCTAATGCATTAGTAGTATTGTTTAGACTTGTTTCGGAATTTTCTAAAATAAAAATGCTATTATGGATTTAATCTATTATTAAGTATTAAATTTTTACCATCAAAGTAAAGCAAAGTATTAAGATCTTCATCATAATTTCCTACGATAGTACGTTTCTTCCGTTCAAACATTTTTTCATTTATGACATGACGATACTTATATAAAAATGTATTTGCAGGAGTCTGTCGATCTGGATAAATCAGACTATATTCTCTTCTTGCCGCTTGCTTGTTTTTATTATTTTTTACATAAATTGAGAATATATCTACTTTTTCATCTACAGTATAACCTATTTTGGTATGAGGACTGACAGTTTATAATAAATTATTAATTGTTTCATTTTGAACTGTCAGTTGCATAGCCACCTATGGTTACCATTTTGTAGTACCATATGCCATTATAGAACAAAACTAATGCTACACAATGTTATATATTGGTAATCAGGAAATGCAGGGCTACTTAAAACGATAAAAAAATACAGAGTGTCCCATTTGAAATATTGAAGATGCATTTTATTGGGTACTCCCTGTATACAAACTTTGGTCTGTTGCTACATTGTTGGTCGGTATAGATAAAATAATACAACTTTTATATAAAACTGTTTTAATATTTCCGAAATTAAAGAAAATAAGTGGGGGTCAATATATAATGAGAAACCCGGTACATAATGCAATTTTCAATTTTCCACCAAAAATTTTATTCACATACTTTCCTGACACTTTTTCGAATTGAATGCCACAAGTTACACAACGACTCAATTTTATGTGGAAAATTGGTAGGTTTAATGTTTTTTAGTACTTCATTTCCTCGCCTATATGTCTATTATTTTTACCTTACTCACATAGCATATCTTAAATGGAAGTTTGGTAGCCATGAAATAACATAATTCTAGATTGCCAATTACCAAAAGAACGTAGAATTACCGAACAAAAAAAATGACCCCAAATGTGAAAACAGAGGACGGTGGTGGAAAGAGGGAGAAGCCTATATATAAAAGTGGGTCTTTGTTTGTGCTTACCCTATGATTTTAGCTCATTGAACTATTACTTCGTATCATATTTTGTGGCCTAACACTATTGTAATAAATATACTTTCTTAGGAACTGGATATGTGGCAAATATTTGTTCGATGGCCAACGTAAAATCGTACTATATTTTTACTCAGAGAAAACAAGTAATAAAAATTTTCAATGATCTAAACTGCCAAAGATTTCAGCCAACAACAGAAAAAGCCAAGAAGTTAGCTCAAAAAGGCTTAGATTTCTATTATAAGGTATGTCAGTTTTTGTACTCTATAGCTTTAAGTTTACTAATTGTTAAATCAATTAAATATTGTTCTGCTTTTAAATTTTTTAAATAATAATATTTAAAAATTATTTCAAAATTTTAAATCATATTTAAAAAAATTTTTCGACTTCTCGTTATCCCCTTATAGAAAAATTGTACGACACGCAAAAATTCATCTTCAACTGATGGCTATAAGTTGACACCTTCCTTGACTACGTGTAATGATTATGTTATTTTACTATAACTATAGTATAACTAGAGAAATATTCTGTATTAGTGACAATGTTTTTTATCCGAATAAAAAGGCAGTAGTATAGTTATCACATTTTAAGAGAAAAAATAATTAATTCTATCAGTTGTTGGTTTTTGGTAAAAATCCAAATATTCAATTTAATCTGGATTTTTCTAAACCGATCAATACTTATATCTAAATACTCCAGTATATGACCATTTTGGACTGAAAAAGTTAAAAATTTGGATTTAGGTTCCTTTTACTGATCGCAGGGTTGCTTTTACTTGCGGGGTGAAAGCCACCCCTTCTCGACAAGTTATAAGCAACTTTTATCCTATAGAGTTTTTTTCATTAAATCAATAATTTTTGAGTTATTTGCGAGTTAAAATGTTCATTTTCAAAACCACGTTTTCAGACGGTTTTCACAACTAATTCAAAAAGTAAGTATTTATCGAAAAACTATTTGTTAGCTAAAATATAGACTATAAAAAAAAGTTTGTGTACTTATGAAGCCTGTAGCCCTAGTAGAAGCAGAGTTGTAGCTTATGAAAATTAAGTTCTTATTTTTCAAATTCCATAAGAGTTTGAAACAAATTTGACAAAACTGTTCAAAAAAGGTTCATTTTTGTTTTTTTAAGTTTCTAGCATCAAATAAGATAGTTATGCTCAAAATAAAGTTAGTCACTTTTTTTCGGTTAAAGTATCGTGAAAATCAGCCCCTACTTAGCACCCTAAATAAAATTAATCAATATCGCTTTACTATTTACTTTATGTATGTATTGTTTATATTATCTCTAAGTTTAAGCAGTTTAAAGTGCCTTCAACCGGAGTGACTTAATACATCGGGGTGTTTTGATACCATTCTACGCATTACCCTTACTTCATTTCTAAAATGTAGAGACATCCTCGTTAACAGTTTATATGTCCTTGATTGTCGTTAGAGACTATATGTGAGTCATCTCTATGTCTACTGTTTTTGGCGCCACAAGGCTAAAACACGTGCTTCAGTACCTGCTTAAAACAAAACAAAACACCGTCGTATTTCTAGTGGTCTGTAAACTTTAATCTGTAGCTACGGCTGTTCCTTGCGTTTCTGGGCATATTTAAGTTCCAATGTAAAAGTTTATATCAAATAACGTAAAAACTATGGCAGATATTTAGATGATTCTTTTTTTATATGGAAGGTCTTAAAAAGTTCTAGTGCACTATTTGGTTGTAAATTAATAAATTGTTTAAACAATTTTTTTTTTCAAATATTTTTGGTTAAAATAAACGTAATTTTTTTTTTTTGAAATAGGGCACTACGGAATTTAACCCACTTTCCGAATCTGTTCTTATTTTTAACATAAAGTGTAACACAAAGCAGCTATTTGGTATAAACTTTTTTAAAAATCTCAAATTTTGCTAAATGTAACTTTCTCTCTCGGCTAGTACAGGCTGTCCTTGTCGATAGTTTCTGGATTCACGCCGACGGTTAGGTTGGTTAGGTAAGAAGTATAATACCCTCTTGAAGGTGGGTCATAAATAATGTTGAATAACATTATTAGGGTTTATTTCGACTTTTGACAAACCAGTGTGTTAATTGTTTTTAAAATGGGTAGTTCACGAAGACGTTTATGTTCCGATTGAGTAAATTTTATATAAATAAGCAGTAAGTACCTTTAATTTGATTAAATTTTTATATGAATAGAAATATTTTCTGTTTACTTGTGAGATTTTCCTTCTAAATATTTATACTGTTTTTATAATAATACTATTGTTTCAGTATTTGCTTATATAATAATAATTTATTATGTAGAAACAGCGTAGAATTTTGGTCAATCAGCCAGTATATTTTTTTTTGTATTTCAATCAGAATTATTATTTTCTTTTCTTCTTTACATAAAAGCTTAGAGTAATACTCAAATATTTTGCAGTATTTGAATACGGAATTTGATTATTTATATTTATTGGACAATACCCAAATATTTTGCTGTATTTGAATATGGAATTTGATTATTTATATTTATAGGAATATTTATTTTGATATTTTTATTTTTTATGTTTTTCTTAGTAAAGTTTACATAATATATGAAGTTTGATTCTTCACTTGCTTGTCCAGCCATATTAGTCCAGGGTAATAAGGATTTTCTGTGCCACTCAATAATCCAGGTAGCTGACAACTTTTTTAGTTATTGTAGACCTATAAGAAGAGAACCTCCCTGTTTCCTGCGTAAAGTTCGGAGCCGTTTTTTAATGATTAACAATTTAATGCAAAAAACGCGATTCTTTCGATTTTTGCACCCTATTATTTATTTATTTATTTTTACGCACAACAGACCGTTAAGGCCTAGTGCATTTTTTTTAAAACATAATTTTAATATTAACTAATTATAATTATTTTAAACAAAACTTTAACTTAAATATGTATATATAACATTCTTAACTACTCTGAAAGACCTGGTGTACAATATTTTTCCATTCGATTCTATTTTGTGCTTTTATTTTCCAGTCCCTCACCTTCACGTGTTTAAGGTCTTCCTCCGCTTTACTAATCCACCTCGTTCTGGGTCTACCTCTTCTTTTGGGTTATTTAATTAATTTTCTGGTTATTACTAGTTTAGGCATTCTGTTTGCTGCCATTCTTTCCACATGTCCCAACCATCTGATTCTTTGTGCCCTGACGAACTTGGTAATGGTAGGTTCTTTGTATAAAGCCAATAATTCATTGTTGGTTCTTCTCTCCCAACCATCTTCTGTCTTCCGTCCTCCGAATATGCATCTCAATATTTTCCTTTCCCATCTTTCCAGAGTATCCTCTTCCTTCTTAGTTAATGTCCATGTCTCACCGGCATATCTTACTGTGGGTCGAATTACTGTTTTATATATTCTGAGTTTACCTTGTCTAGAAACGTATTATGAGTTCAGTAGGGCTATTAAACCATCTAATCTTTTATTCCCTTTTGCTATTCTGGCTACGAGCTCCCATTTCTCTTTTCCATTTTCATCGAAAACTACACCCAGGTATTCAAATTTGTCCACCCTTTTAAAACTATATCTTTTACCATTTACTGACCTCACACTAAAGTCTTCTTTTTTCCCTTCTGTCCCTTCCATGATCATATATTTATTTTTGTCTTCATTTAGTTCCAATCCGAATTTCTGTGCTTCTTCGATGATTTTCTTCACAACTCTTCTTAATTCTTACTCGGTTTTTGCTAGGATCGTTAGATCATCAGCAAATGCCAAGCACTGGTGCTCATTTTTCATGATCGTTTCTTTCATCTTCATGCTGCATTTTCTGATTACAGTTTCTAATACTAAGTTGAATATTGTAGTGGATAAAGGATCTTCCTGTCTCAAGCCCTTTGCAACTGTAAATTGATCTGATATGTGACCCTGCCAAGCAATTTCACACGTAGAGTTATTAAGTGTCATTTTAACTAGTGTAACATTTTAACTCTAAAATCCACAAACAAAATATGCAGGGAAACTTTACGTTCATAACAAGTCGTTTGTATCTCCTTTAATGAGAAGATTTGGTCTACAGTAGATCTGTCCTTTCTAAAGCCGGCCTGATATTCATGCAGGATTCTTTCCGTGTAGAAATTTAGTTTATTTCTCAATATTCTTGCCAAGATTTTGTATACCGTATATAATAAGGCTATACCTTTATAGTTGCCGAACTTCAGATGGGATTAAAAACTATCACTTTGTCCTTGATACTAAAATGTCTTGTCCTTGATTCAGCTACTAAAAAACCAGTTCCAAGCATTCTATCTTTACCTCCACTTTTAAAAAGCACCATATCTTCTATATCAGTTATTTCCGATCCTAATTGTTTTGTCTCTTGAAGAGCCATTAAATCGATTTTATACTTCCTTGCCTCATTCATTAGTTCTTTTAGTGCACCTTCATAAAAGGTTCCTCTGCATTCCATGTAGCTAACTGTATCTTGTCATTCTTCGGCTTTACTTTTGTATTACTTTCTTGTTTTGTTTCGTTTTCATAGTTCGTAATCATTTTCTTCGCACTCTATTAGAAAGCTAAATACTTGATATAAAATTACAAAATTTTATTTTTTAGAATATTGAAAAAGTTTAAAAATCAATTTGTTGTTTTGCAAACTGCAAAATAAGTGACAATTGATATTTGTTAAAAACTTTTAATAAACTTAAATTTTAAACTTTAGCGTTCCACCCAAGGTTGGGTATTGGGGTACTTAACAAACCCTTAAAATTTGGGACCAATATATTAATTAGTTAAAAAGTTATTGTATTTGTTTATCCCAGAGACCTTTTTTTACAATAACATACGACAGAAAATAATAAAGATAGGGAAATGATGTGGGTAACAAATGAAAGCAATAGTATACTTATACTATCAATATGTATTAAAAAAAATAACAAAATAATTTATTATAGTCAAAAATCCCGATGCCAAATTTTTGAAATTATGTAGTTTATAAACATTTAGAATAACTTTAAAAACATTGCCCCCAGAAAAAAATCTTTTTTTACATTCGAAAAGCTAGTATTTTCACCCGAATTTTCAAATAAAAAAATTTGGCCTAGGTTAATTTGGGCCAAAGTTAGCCATGTTTTTTTGTTAATTCACAACTAGTTTGATTATAATAATTAAGGATCCTCATTGACGCCATTTTAAAGAATGGGATTTGTATTTTTAACACTAGTTCTTTTAACACTGTCATAGGCTGCTTTGAACTCGACAAAGATATAGTGTGTATCTATGTTGTATTCTAGTGACTTTTCTAGAATCTACCCATGTGCTTAAATTTGAGGTATAGTTGATTTTGCAGCAGTAATTCCGTGTATAACAATCTACAAAAAGTTTCGTGATGTACGCCGACCTGTATGATTGAATTTTCACAAAACTAATTGAAGTCACTACTATAAAAAAATTAAAAGTTCGTAAAATGGATTCTGTCAAAGGTTACCAACTGCGTTGCCACAAAAAAGTCATTTTAAGAGGATTCAGGAAATAATATATACCAGAATGGGACGATAATGCAGAAGTATTATAAACTTAATTAGACGAACAAGAAAAGAAAAGATGAATTCTTATCAATCTCCGATAAAAAATGGAACAAAAGTTTATACAGCTGAAATTCAACTTAAAATTTAAACTTAAGAAAGACTTGTAGGCTACTGAAGAAACTTGGTGGTGATATTACACTAATAATATATAACATAAAAAGCTCTGTTACTGCCGATGAATTCTCCTCTGTTACTAGAATAAACAGCTAAAAATAATACACAGAGAATCCATTAATTAGTGAATATGAATAGTAAACGTGTTATTTATTTGCATAGTATATTTACAATAAATTTTTGCAATTGTACTGAAAGTTGAAAATAGTTTATTGATTATTGCACTATAAAAGCAAAAAAGAATAAGAATAAAGATTTTAAGTCAAATGTAAAAATACGTTGTAAATTAAAATATATCAACCCAATTAGAAATTACGGTTTTTCCTAGCGATTATTTTATCGAAAGTTTAATGTCATAATACTGAATAAAGATTTTTGTAGGCAAACGTGTTCCTTACTGCCATATCAGTAGTGGCTTGCACGTTTTCAGTGACAACGCCAATCTTTTATCCTAAAAATGGCGGCCTTCCGTTTGCTACATGGTATCCCTTCAATGTGTCAACTACACCTATACACCAAATGGTCTACCTTCACCAGACAATATCAGTGTATTATGATACTCTAATCAACGTCAGTGGCGATTTGTTGGTAGCTGGTTTGAGCACTTTTATCGGTGTTCAGTGCGACTTGCTTTGTTACGAACTAGTAGAGGGTCGAAGTGACTCCTTGGTTGATTATATCAAGTATCATCAGGAAATTGTAAGGTAAGTATATTATTTGTCACGTTCATCGGGTCAGTATCCGCCGAGTCACTACAGGTATTCGAATATAATAAGAGATTCTTTGTAAAAACATTGAAGCAAACTTAACATACTAACATCAACTTAAGGGCTGTTTAAGTATTAAGTGAGCACCATAGGGGGCAGAGGTCTTTTCTTTGCTTATTTTGGATGGCATTCCTTATTAGTGGTCTGTGGTCTAGATAGTAATTACGTCAGTATATGTTATTTACTTTTGAATCTCGAATCTACTTTAGAAAAATCTAATTTCGAGTTAGCAGGAAATGTGTTTATGGAGTTCAATGGAGAGATATTCGCTCCGTGCGTGACTGACGCGACACCTACCGCCTTCATCTGACAGTTTTGGACCTCCCAATTTTCAGGTTAAAGATATGACATATTTTTGACATGGTTAAATACATGGGAAATTGACAATTATTAATAATTAGTTTTTTAATTATATTTTTTCAGTTTATGTACAAAATAAACATAGTATTAAAAAATGGATTTCTCAAAATTCATCATAATATATCTTTTCAACCCCAAACGGAAATGAAAGGGAAAATCTAGTACTGGCAAATCAAGTTTTCACGTGAAAGAGCATATATTTAATAACAATAATAGTAAAAGTTATGATATAAAAGCTAATGTCATCTGGCACTCTGCAGTTAGCTTGAAGCCTTATGAAATATCATTTAAGATAAATTATTTAAATTTTTCCTATTTCAATTGCATAAAAATGAAATTATGTGATGTTTACTTATTCATATCCATCATAATCCATCTTCTTCTTTTTTCTAATTTATATGTAATCTTTGGGAACCTATAAAAACTACACTCACTATTTTTGCTATTATTAGCACAATTAAATACACAAAATGTATTTGCACACATTTTTGATAAAATTTATGCGTAAAAAGATAGGTCTAATTTTGTCATATTTCAATGCTACGCACGCTGGCATCGTTTCAAGGTACCCCTATCATGGTCACGCACGGAGCGAATAATATTACTGCAAAATATGTTTGGCAGGGCGAACACGATCTTCCTGAATTTACTAGACATAGAATATTCAGAACATGCGAGTTAAAGCCAATACTTGCTTCAAAGTTTAAAATGAAGAAACGGAATGCTTTTGTCCAAGAAGTGGCCTATTTAGATTACTAGACAACAGGTTTCTTCATTTCTTCCACCACTCGTAAAAGTAAAACAAACAGTTAATGATTTGGTGTTGGATGAGGGAGGGCAGTTCCTTAATCTTAATTGCTTCATACAAAGAATTCCTGCAAATTCCCTACGATTATTTTTGTGCGACCGTAAAATTAAAGCTATTAAGTAAAACATGCAAAACATGTGGTGTTTATCATTCTTACGTCAACGCACTAAATCGTCACATCGAGAAGATCCATAAAAAAGTTAACACGCGCACTGATATGAAACTTAGGCCTATAAGAATCGTTGCTCGTCGTGTTAATAAACTGATGTGCATTAGTCAATTGCATTGAATGACTATTTACTATTTACTCTCTTTTTATCGAGGTACTTGAAATGTTTAACCGGTGCAGTAACTTCTTCAGGAGCTTTATTACATTTTATTTCTTTTATGGCCCTTAAGACTTTAGCTTTTAGGATGGCGAAGTTGCCTTTATGTTCAATTGACTGCTATTTTTCGATCTGTGATCCCAGAACAATTTGTAGAGATACTTTTTCCATATTCCTTTTTGTTTGTCGGAACGCAATTCGATTAGGTTGTTCTCATTTTCTGTTAGAAATATGTTTCCGGATTTAAGACTTGCGGTTTCTAATATTTTACTCATGTTATGAAAATTTTAACTTCGTTATATTTAATAGGCTTTTTTAACATCGGAATAACATTCTTTAAGATCTTTTGTGCTTGCAGATGTTAGTGCGTATTTTTGGTTAATTTTAATCAACATTACTCTTATTTAATGGCAGGAAGCCTTTAACATAGTTAATCTACCAATATTTAAGTTTTTTAGTTTTACTATCCTAGGGTACACTAGTACGTCATTCAAAAATAAATTCAAAAGTAATGTTTGAATGAATTTATTAAAAACAATTTTTTTACACAAATATAACTAAAAAATTTTAATAACTCTGTGAACATTATTGTTTCTTAGAACATCCTGGACAAACTTTAATTTAATGTTCTTCACAGATGAATTTTTTGCAAGCATTGCACCTTATTCGGGTCTCACGGTCTCGGAATTGCACACGTAAACTGCAGTTGCCTGAATTTGCATTAGTTTCTTCTTGAATTTCATTAGATCTACCTTCCTTTCACATACCATTGATGGTTTCGCGAAGATATACTAGTAAGGTTGGCCAAGCTAATCTTTCCCTCTTATAGGGCTGCATGAGTGACAAAATTAAAGATTTCAAGTAGAGCCAAGTGTGCGATACACTCTCTTTTTCTCTTGCTTCTGAACCCTTTAGCAGAACAAGCGTATTAACTTCCACAATGTTAAGAAGTCCGTAAAACATGCACAGAGACCAACGATGGGTTCTCCTTGATACGGAGTATTGGTGACAAAGCTTGTCTATACTACTATCAACTTCCCCTTTTATGCTATTGTAGAATTGTATTATGTTGTGCAATTAAACACTGTTATCTTTATCCGAGTCCTCATGCATGCTGGATAGCAGTATAACAGATTTTTTAGGTTTATATTTTGTAGGATAATAAGAAAAGAGAACTAGATTTTCGCTAAATGTAAACATGGTGGTATTTTTGTTTCTATCCTTTTTTTTATAAAGCTTGGTGGTATTTCAGTTTTAATCACTTTCATAAAACCTACAAGTATTACCTATTAACAACTTTTGAACCATAGAAGTGAACGAATTATCAAATTAAAGTTTCTGTTTGTGTCGCAAATGGACTCGGTCATCTTCTTCTTCTTATGGTGTCCTACCCAATTAGTGGATGTTGGCGACAATTCTGGCATACTCCTCTCGATCTTGCGTGTCACTTAAAAGTGCATGGGCATCGAGGTTTGTCCAATCCCTTATGTTTTTAAGCCATGAGTATTTCTTTCTTCCGATGCCTCGTTTTTCTTCTATCTTTTCTTTCATAATAAGCGTTAAGAACTGGTACTTGTAATTTCGAAATATATGACCCAGATAAGCAGTTTTTCTTGTTTTTATTATTGGCAGCAATTCTTGTTCTCTGCCCATTCGATTTAATACTTCGACATTTGTTGTGTGATCTGTCCAGGGAATTTTAAGTAGTCTTCTAAATACCCACATTTCAAAGGCCTTCAATCGATTCATCACATTAACCCTTATGGTCCAGGTTTCTACATCATATAGCAGTATGGAGTAAATGTAACATTTTACAAAGCGATATCGAAGCGTTAATTTGAGGCTGCTGTTACTTAGCAACATCGGCCTTAACTGAATAATATTCTGCAACGGGTATGCCTCCAGAAGTTGAAGCAAAATGTTTTTGCATCACACATCATTCCAATTTTTAATGCCATATTTATCAGGATTTCACAGAATTTATATCATAAATTGACATTTTTCTCTGAATGCAAGTAGCTGCTCGTCTATAGTGCAATATTTGGGTGGGACATATAAATCCTGGCTTCTTTGAACTATATGATCTAACAAAGCTTTAATAGGGGTTAAGCGATCTAATTTCTTTCTTTCTTCCCTGGTATTGCGCTCGTCAAATCTTCCAGTTAGTCAGATACTCAAATTGAGCTTGAGGCATGGTACAGCGAAAATAGCTTACACCTGAATACCTATCAAATACTCTGACATGATTCATGTTCAGAACTTCTGCCAATGTAGAGCCCAAATAGTTCCTTCAGTTAGATTATGGTAATATGTTTGGTAAAAGTGGAGTCTTCCACTTGGTCTTCCACCCTCTTACGGTCAATTTTATACTGAGTACGCTGGCTATTTATTTTTTTGTTGGTGGAATCCCGTATATGTTTCATGATATCATCATGATATCATCAATAAAAACATTGAATGCTTCATACCCTCACTTGACACATTTAGTTTCATTTTTATTCCCCGGTAGATAAACTACAATATTTTTTGCAGCATTTCGAGTACGATTAATGGGTCTCACTCCACTGTATTTAAATTTGTTTTTACCTTAAAGTCTTATAGGTACACTAACAACGTTTACCATGTTACCAGAATCTCTCACTCGAATTTCATTTTAACCATCATTTTTTTGCTTTATCGATGTCTTCTGTTTCTTTACAATTTTAATATCTATATCAAAAGGTTGTAATGTACCTACCTACTCACATGTAAGATAATTAAAGTATCTATGTATTTCTATATAGTTTTTAGTCACCTGGTATATGTTATTTACAATTATGAAAAGTTCTCATGTATAATCACTAATAATTATTTGCTGTTAGAAATCAGAATCAATACTCTTCATAAATATTTTCCTATTTAGAATAAATAAGTTTCGCTAGTTTATTCGCCTAATACTTCGTATCTATGGAATAATAATAATTTATTTCTCTTATTTCTTTGTTCGATAAGCTATCCGTATTTGCTATTTTAATATTAATATTTGAGTCCAATCTCTTGTACTCAAATCCATCCAGAAACATCGTTAAATAATTGTAGATAACAGAACTTATAAATTCATAGTTTTAAGAAATAACAGGCAGTGTAATTTTCATCCTCTAATATAATAAATTTATACATGTCAATATATTCTGTTTAATTCCAAAACAAAGAGTTAGTCCGGAGAAGAAATAAACGCATAGTATTCCATAACAAAATTTGGTGTCAGAAGTGGGATATTAGTAGCAGAGTTCCTCTGATTGCTGATAGAAGGAGAGCTGAGGAATTTTTGAATTGACTTGTTTCCTTCGAGGAATCATTCAAAAAAACTGTCAGTGTGGAAAAATCGCCACTACAACTAATTACATTGGGGTCCAGTACATCCAGTTCGAAATCCAGTTCCAGTCATAACCCAATTGTAGTTC